CCAAAACTGGATGCAGTATTCCAAGTGTGGCCTTACCAAGGCATTGAAGAGTGGTATTAATACTTCGCGTGATCTTGATTCTATCCCTCTGTTAATGCAGCCTAGTACTGTGTTGGCCTTTTTGGCAGCTGCCGCACACTGCTGGCTCATATTTAACTGATTGTCTACTAGGACTCCGAGGTCCCTCTCACAGTTACTACTATTGAGCATGGTGCCACCTATGCTGTACTTGTGCATTTGGTTTTTCTTGCCTAAATGTAGAACCTTGCTTTTTTCACCATTGAATTTCATTTTGTTAGTTAGTGCCCAGTGTTCAAGTCTGTCCAGATCCTTCTGTATCTGAAGCCTGTCTTCTGGAGTGTTGGCTATTCCTGCCAGCTTGGTGTCATCTGCAAATTTGATGAGTTCCCCATCTATCCCTTCATCCAAATCGTTGATGAAGATGTTGAAAAGTACTGGGCCCAGAACAGAGCCCTGGGGCACCCCACTACACACTTCCCTCCATATAGATGCAGTTCCATTGAGGACCACTCGCTGAGTACGGCCGGTCAGCCAGCTACGGATCCATCTGGTGGTGGTTCTGTCTACCCCACATTTTTCTATCTTGTCAAGTAGTAGGTTGTGATCTACTTTATCAAATGCCTTACTGAAGTCCAAGTAAATTATGTCCACAGCATTCCTCTGATCCACTAATTTTGTCACTTGGTCAAAGAATGCAATAAGATTTGTCTGGCATGATCTATTTTTGACAAACCCATGTTGGCTTTTAGTAATGACTTTGTTTGCCTCTAGGTGTTCGTTGATTCGTTGTTTGATTATCTTTTCCAGGATCTTCCCAGGTATTGAGGTCAGGCTGATAGGTCTGTAATTTCCTGGATCCATTTTTTTTCCTTTTTTGAGGATGGGAACTACATCAGCTCTTTTCCAGTCCTCTGGTAGTTCCCCTGTGTTCCAGGATCTTTGAAAAATATAGTTCAGTGGCTCCGATATCACATCTGCCAGTTCCTTGAGAACTCTGGGGTGTAATCCATCTGGTCCTGGCGATTTGAACTCATCTAGGCTGGACAGGTGCTCACTTACCATTTTCTTGCCTATCTTAACTTGTGTTTCTATTTTGTTTTTTATGGCACTATTTTTGATAGGTTGGTCTGTTTTTTCCCTTTGTGTAAAGACAGATGCAAAAAATGAGTTAAATAGTTCTGCTTTCTCCCTGTTGCTTGTCACCTTCTTGCCACTTCCACCCACTAATGGACCAATCATTTCCTTCACTTTTTTCTTGTTTTTTACATGTTGAAAGAAGCTTTTTTTGTTATTTTTGACTTTGGTCGCAAGCCTTAGTTCATTTTGAGCCTTGGCTTTCTTCACTTCATCTTTGCAGGCTCGGGCTATTTGCTGATATTCTGACTTAGTTATGTTCCCCTCTTTCCACTTTCTGTACTTGTCCTTTTTATCTTTCAATTTGTCAGAGAGTTCTTTATGCAGCCATGCTGGTTTCTTTTGAGAGCTGTTATTTTTCCTCTTTGTTGGTATTGTGCTAGACTGTGCTTTTATTATCTCATTTTTCAAAATTTCCCAAGCTTCTTGAGTTGTTTTCCCCTTGAGGATTCTCATCCATGGAATCCTTCCCAAGCCCTCTCTAAGTTTATTGAAATTAGCTCTCTTGAAGTCCAAGACTCTAGTTTGACTGTGTTCTATTGGTTGTGCTTCTATAATGTTGAATTCTAATATTGCTATGATCACTTCCTCCCAGGGTTCCTATGGCTTCAACACCGTCTATCATTTCATCTCTGTTAGTGAGAATTAGATCCAAAATGGCTAATCCCCTAGTTCCCTTCTCTACTTTTTGGGAGACAAAGTTGTCTGCTAGGTTTGCCAGGAACCTGTTTGATCTTCCACTTGGTGCGGAGTTTGTCTCCCAGTTGATGTCAGGGTAGTTAAAGTCCCCCATTACTATTGTGGTGTGCTTCCTACATACCTTAGTTAGCTGACTAGCAAAAAGTTCATCTATTTCCTCTGTTTGGTTGGGTGGTCTGTAGTATACACCTATGGCAATGTCATTCCCCCCCCTTTTATATTGACCCAAATGCATTCAAGAGAGTTTTTATCATTGTTGTACTCTATTTCTGTGGAGATGTAGTTATTTCTTATATAGAGAGCAACTCCACCTCCTCTTTTATTTGGTCTGTTTCTTTTAAATAATTTAAATCCCTCTAGCTGTGTGTTCCATGTGTGAGTTTCATCCCACCATGTTTCCGTAATGGCAACAATATCGTATCTGCCCTCGTTAACCTGAATTTCTAGTTCACCCTGTTTGCTGTTCATACTCTGTGCATTGGTGTATAAACATTTGAGTCCTTTGTGGGTGGCCCTGTGTTTCCTTTCTACATAACCTGTGTGGTGCCTGAGTTCCCCTATTGTCTTACCACCTATTTGGTTAGTGCACTTTATGTGGCACTCGCTATTAGAGGCTTCATTTTGATTGGTAGCAAGGTTGGTATTCTTGTCCACACACACATCTATGCTACATGCACTGATAGCCCTATAGTTTTTAAATTGCCGGGGACAGGGTTGTTCCGTATCAATTAACTCCCTGTCCCCGCTGTTTAGTTTAAATTTCCCTCCAGAAAATCTGTGAATTTATAGCCGAGTAACTCAGTCCCTTTTTTTGATGGATGCAAACCATCTCTTTTGTACATCTTTTGATTGGACCAGCTACTGACATCGTGACTAATATATCCGAAGCCTTCCCCTTTACACCACTCCTTTAGCCACATATTGAATTGTGCTATGCGCTGGCCTTTTCCGTTTTGCTCCTTATACACTGGTAAAACCTCTGAGAAAGTAAGCCTACAGCCTATTCTGCTAAGTTCCTTCCCCAAGCTCTGGAAATCATTCTGCACAGAGAGTACATCTTTTTGGGACAGATCATTAGTGCCAAGATGTACAATAGCCTCCACATCACAGTCCTTGCTGCCATTCTTGATTATTTTAGAAATACGCTTCTTGTCCCTACTGGCAGTAGCACCTGGAAGACACCTGACCTCTTTCAAAGCCTCTGTGTCCTTTCCTAAATTTACATCCCTTATAATTGAATCACCTACCAGAAGGTAGCTTCTCTTTTTGGGAGCCTTTCTATTCTTGCATGACTGATGTGCAATACCTGATTCACACTTCTCCCTGTCAAAATCTAGTTCTTCATCTCGGACCACAATCCCCTGCTTATTTGAGTTATCTTCACAAATACCTTTACCAGTCTCCTTAATGTCCCTATTAAGGTCAGCAAGGGCACTGTAGCTGTTGTGCAGGGACACAGCGAAAGCTTTGTGTTTATGGTTCACAGCTCTCACCCTGCCAGATCCCACGGTTGTCCACACTGCCCTTTTCCTGCAGGATCTTTGTGGTAAAGGGGGCTGATAGCAGGGAGGCTTACTAGAGTAGAGGGGCTGAACTGGACACCTAATTTCTGCCCGAAGAGCACGGATTACAGACCCTAGGTAAATGATCTGTCCTTGTAGGCTAGTGATTTGTTTACTTGACCATGAGAATGTTGCAATAGTCGTTTATAAAAACGGTTATAAGCAGTGGGTTTTTTTTTTGTCATAGAATGCACTGGAACGGAGTTCCAGCACCGTTTTTTGATGGATTTTCCAAGTTTTAAAAATAACTTTTGAAAATTTGATGTTTGGTCCACGTGGATTTGAATCGCCCTGTCGAGCGTAGCAGGTTGGCGGCAAAATCATTAAAACAGTGCATGCGGGCTGCTTGTGTGTCGAGTCCGATGCACGCGTACTTCGTCCACGTTGGTTATGATGGCGCTGCTCGGCTTGTGGCACTGCTCAGCTTGTGATTGGTCATGTGGTCGCGCGCTGAGTGCTTACTGCGGGTGGTGACCATTATGTTTCGTTACACAACTGACATGTGTGGGTGTGTATACAGTGAAAAGGTAAAAAAATTCTTTATATTTCAACAAATCGTTGGTGAATTGAAAATCTTTTTTAAATTTTTAGTGTAAAAGTGTGACCCCAAGTTTAAAAATGAAAAAAAAAATACTAATTACTTCTCAACCACTGGTTCTGTTAAGAACTGAATATATATTTTTTTAAATAAAAGATTAACAAGATGTGAGTTCCGGCACCTTTTTTCTTACAAAAAAAGCACTGGTTATAAGTCATTTTTAGTGCTGTTGTAACTTTCAATGGTCACTAAACAAACTGTTGTAAGTCAAGTTGTAAGTCTGTTGTACTAACAAAACACTCAGTTGCTTTTTGGTGATTTTCTGAAGTGACTCCTTACTCTATATCTGATGGAAGGACCTTCTTGGATAACCTATTTTAATTTTATTCAATTTTTTTCTCCCCAGTCTCAGGCCATGCAAATTTGTTAGTTCCAAAATCAATCAATTCTCTGGTCATCCAATACAAGTCTGGGATGGAAGAGGGGAGGAATGTCGGCTGATTTGAGCTTTAATTTTTTGAAGGGAGGGCTGTCTTCCTTTTTTTTTTAGCATTCCTTTTAAAATTTTGCTTACAGTGTTCTATACATCACTGTGCATGCTGCGTAATTTAACTGCAATTTAAACACAGCACCTAGTACCGAAATGTATTATGTTTCAAAACAGCATTAAATATTAATATAAAATAAAATGTGTATTATAAAACAATAAAATTAAAAATTAAATTTTATTAATAAAATTAATAAATATTAATGTTCGTGAGTTTTTTGAGTCTTGCAACGGGTTCCCAAAAACTGATACCCACTTTTGCATCTTTCTCCAGGACAGGAAAAATCACAGCAAAAATCCACACGTATACGGTTTATTTATCCCCATTTAGCCTACCAGTAAAACTACTATTCCCAAAATGCAGTTCGCCGCTCCACCCCGCCCAGTTTTGACAAGACCACGATTTTAATGGGAATTGTAGGATACGGTTTAGTTCCCGTCATCCTTTGCTTTGCACACGTTGACGCCTGCCATTTGCTGGCGCATAGCCCTATGGAAGTTGCGGTCCTTCCTCTTAACGCTATTTATCACAAAGGACAGATAGGAACTACAGCTACCGTCATGCATCACTCCTTCCCCAGCCAAGCTTGGAACTGTGTGATCAATCCCGGGACCGGTAGCCTCTCCCCTTTTTTCTTGGGGGGCGGAGGACTACAACTCCCGGCGTGCACCGCCCCCTTCCTTTGATGTTTACCCCCCTCGGCTCTTTAGGAAGGGGATTCTCCCCAAAATGGCGGCTCCTGCTTCAAGGGGTTCGGGGGGTGGAGCCTGCAACCCCACTGGCTCCCTAGATTATTGCCTGGCCCAGCTGCAGAGGGGGACCGAGCCCGGGCTAGGCAAGGCCTTGTTGGCCCTGCGGACCCAGCACATCAAGGAGACGGGAGGCATCGCCCGTTTCCGGACCCACGGGGGGCTGGCGCCACTTTTGGGGATCCTCTCCGGCTCCCCGCGACCGCGCCGCACTTTGGACCTGGCCCTCAGCATCCTGGGCAACTGCTGCACCGAAGGGGGCAGCCGCACCCAAGTGCGCGAACTTGGGGGGATCCCGCCCCTAGGTGAGTGCAAAACGTGTATAGGGGGGCAGAATGGGGGTACGGCTAAGGAACAGTCCCTCTTCACCCCCCCCCAGGTATTTCTGGAGCGGTGGGGCTGTTTCAACCCCTCCCGTCCCAGCCTGATGCCTGATCACGTCTTGGACTTCAACTCCCATGATGCCCAGCCAGCTAGGCCGATGGGCGAGCTGCAACGGGATAATGGGAGTTGAAGTCGGCGGCATCGGTAGGGGTTCGGGGAAGGGACTCTTGTCTTGCCAAGGAATGAAGATGCAGTTAGTGGGGACGAGGAGACCGCTGTTCCCATCAAGCCGAGCCCCCCTTTTGTGGGTGGGGCTTCCTTCTCAAATCAGGGTGCCCACTGGGGGGAGAGGAGGGGAAAAAAATCAGTTTTATTCCTCCTTAAATCCGATGGCATGTAACCTTTGAGTGTAAAAGGATGGTAACCTTAACAAGGGCTTTTGGCTGTTGGAAGTGGCCAAGGTGAAACCTCAGGCTTTCCCCCTTAAGAGAAAATGTCAGCTAGAAGTAACTCTCATTTCTTAAATGTGGTATCTTGCATTTAAACCATGCCAGTCTGAGCCTTGTGCATTGGCCCGGACTGTAGAACATCCCTAAAATTGGGAGCACCTCAAGTTAGATTTGTGATGGTTTCCTGGGCTAAAATGATTGTTCAGGTCCTTAAAACAACAACAACAAAAAAACCACACAGCTAAATTATGCCTAGATTTGTAACTTGGGTCTGCGGTTGCTTTGCTTGGCACGCCATCTGCCTGTTAATATTGTGAATATCACAGCTTCGTCCTTTAAAATGGGAGGGGGGGGGATGGAAAGCTATTCATGGTTTCAAGCCAGCAAAAACAAGTTTAGGTTCTATTAATATTTACCTTTTGATTTTATCAGACCCTCTTTGATGCCAAGTTATGAGGCTATGCTAAATACTTTGTGTTTAGGTAACTAAATGCATGCAAGAATTGGCTAATAGGTGTTTTGTGAATTGGAGCTTATACCAGTGCCTGCCCTAACACTGAAAAGATCTCATAAGTACACGTATACCCAGCATGCAGGGGACTTGCAGCTTTTTCAGAAATCTCTCTTATCACATGGTGTAATTATGTAACATGTAAAATGTAGGAAGCTTGTATTTATCTCTAAATTAGATGCATAGCTTGCTTTTATTTTTTACAGCTTAAGCCAGCATACATAATGCTATTTTGTTCCATTTTCCCCATAATTAACAACCCTGTGAAATGAGGAAGTGGTCAAAAGTTGCCCAGCTGATTTCTTTGCCTAAGATTCCCTCACAATCTCTCAGTTTCTAATCTGGCCACTACACCAAACTGTTGGCCATCCTGGAAGTGCCTGCCTCTTAGCAGAAGGCGTTAAAAAAGGTAAATGTAGTTTGAAACTGCCACAAAACTCTTCCCCCCTCCAATGCAACTAGCTAAGACAACTACTTCTCTTAAAGATGTTGTGGTTTTACAACTGGATTATCAAATTGCTACCTTTCCTCATTTTCTCTTTATAGTTATTATCCTGAAGTCACTGGCTGTGGAAAGTATCCTGAATCGGACAGCACGAGCACTCGGCAACTTGGCTGTAGACTTAGAAAATTGCCAGGCCATCCATGAAGCAGGTTGAACAGGGGTTGGGTTTGGGAAAGGGTAGGATCTATGTAAGTGTAGAACTGAGATTTGTAGTATGTGTATGTATTTATACATACACACACACACAAGTCCTCGTTTACCAGCCACTCATTCAGTGAGTTTGAAGTTATGACAATGTTGAAAAAGGAGACTTGTGACCAGTCCTCAAAGCTGTGGCCATCGCCACTCCCTTGAGGTCACATGATTGCAATGTGAGTGTTTGACAACTGGTGAACATTTACAACGGTTGCAACATCCCACAGTCATGTGATCACCCTTTGCAACCTTCACAGTTGGCTTCCGATAAGCAAGGTCAATGGGGAAGCCAGCAGGAAGTTGTTAAATTGTGTTTAATCACTGCAGGTACGATTTCCTGAGCGACTGCAGCTGAAATTGATGTAAGTTGATGTGGTCACATAAGGTCACACTTAATGACCGTGCCACTTAGCAACAGAGTTGCTGGTCCTGATTGTGGTTGGTCAGTGAGGACTATCTGTGATCTAGGAGGTACAGCTGTCTTTCTCACCATCACCTCATGTTTATTTTCCAACATTGTTAGTTGGACTTTTTCCTTCTCCCTCTCCCCGTCATGAACAGACATCACACACACACACACACACACACACACACACACACACACACACACACAGGTTAAGAGCTATTAATTGCTTAGAGTCCATATGGCACGGTGGATAAAGATTCTATGTTCAGCAGTATCAGCACCCTCAGACAAATTTATGTCCCCTACCCGTTTTCAACTCCCCCTTACAAACACGCAGATAATTATCAATTCTTTTTTTTATAAGACATTTTATTGTTTTTTTTCATTTTTACATCAAAGTGCTTAAGAAACAACGTGGTGATGGGGATATCAATTATTCAAAAGCATAATCATGCATATATAACTTAGATTAGTTCATTAAGAATTCCCTCTCTATTTCCCACATATAGTGTTACATATTCAAATTAATACATTTCTAAATAGAGTGCAATTGATCAGATCAGTCATAAATCACATTTCAATTGTAAAAAATCCAAGTCCTGTTTTTAAGCTTTGCTCATTTACAGTTACCATATTCCAAATGAGCTTAAATAGACATATTAGCATTTCAGGTATTCCTCATTTGCCCTTTTCCCTAGCATAATAATTCTATCTAGGATAAATATATTATTCCAACAACAGCATTCTTATATTTTCCACATACAACCTATTTCTTAATCTAATAAATCATTTATTAATACCATTTCTTCTCTTATCACATTTCCCTCTTCTCCTTCTATTACAAAATAATTATCTTACTTAAGATAAAAATATCAATCCAAAAAAAATACATTTCTATCTATTTTAAATATATATTCTATCAATCAGTCTGTATCTATCAAAAGTCTTTTTAACCCATTAAATGAAATTTACTCCTCCAAATACTTATCCAGATAATTATCAATTCTGTTGTACACCTTTAGCATGCATAATATGCTTGGCTATTCTGAGGGCTCAAAATAGTAAAAAAAAAATAAAATACATTTTATATATTCTCTTAATAATATTTGGTGCAAACTCTGAAGGGCATCGTACACATATAAACATTCCTTAGTGGAATTCATTTAACATAGTAAAACCTTTGCGATAATAGGGTGGTCAGATGTGACGCTCTGCGGACAGGTTGTAAATTAAAGGCAGGGATATGTCAAGCATCTCTTCACTGTGATGAAAATTCAGAGCTCTCTTTCTTCTAATATAACAGTGGTTCTCAACCTTTTTAATGCCACGACCCCCAACCGGTCATAAGTCGAGGACTACTCAACCGGTCATAAGTCGAGGACTACTCAACTGGTGCAGCACCGTTTGCAGAATGGGACTTTTGGCGGGCTCAGCAGGGCAGAGACAGCCTGGACAATTCCTATGGGCTTTTGAAAGTCAATAGAATTAGACTATTTAAGAAAGTCTATTCTATTGGCTTTCGAAAGCCAATAGAATAAAAGGGAGTAGCACAGCTAAGGAAAAGGAGGAAAAAAATGGCGGACTATGTTGTTGGCGACCCCCATGAAATGGTCGTTCGACCCCAAATGGGGTCCCGACCCACAGGTTGAGAACCACTGTAATATAAGAATGTGCAGGTTGGGGAGTTGGTGGTGGTGTCACTTCATTGGTAACTTGGAAGGAATTTGGGTGGCTTTCCACGATTGGGCATCAAATTCCAAATTACTCTTGTTAAAGTTCCACTGCAAACCTATATATTACTCTACATATCCTTGGGGGAGGGAGAAGGAAATGATGTCAGTGGAAACCAGAGCAGAATAGATATATTTATTTATTTATTTATTTATTTATTTATTTATTTATAAGGCTTACGTAACTGCCCATCTTGCGGTACTGTAATCCTGGGCTGCTGAGCAGCAATAAAACATAAAACAAGAATACTAAAATCGAAAGCATCTTACAGGCACCCCACAGACGATATTTCCCCGTGTGTTTGCTGGGCTCCTCTCCCAAGGCCTGCACTTGGGGAGACAGTCAGCTCTTCAAAGCCTTCCAGAAGGCTAAAATGGTGGAGGCCTGACAGATTTATTTATATTTATTTATTTATGAGACTTATATACCGCTTTAAGTGCAAGCACTCTCTAAGCGGTGTACACCAGTAAGCAATGTATATATATATTTACATTGCCCCCAACAATCTGGGTCCTCATTTTACCTACCCCTGAAGGATGGACGGCTGAGTCAACCTTGAGCCGGTGAGATTTGAACCGCTGACCTGCTGAACACAGTCAGCTAAAGTGGCCTGCAGTACTGCACTCTAACTGCTGCGCCACCTCGGCTCTTATAAGATCCGTAGTGGATCTTGCAGTGGAAGACTTTCTTTTTTGCTGCTTTATTTTAAAGCGGAGAATGTGTAGCCGTAGTTAGTGCAATTGGCCTGACAGGGTAGACGGGAGCAAGGAGCTCTTGGTTAATATGGTATCTTTGAACGCTGCTTGATTACAGCAGTCGATAAAACGCGGAGTCCCTAAAAATAAACCAAGATGTATGCTAATTGAGGCATCTGGAAATGTATCTGGCTGACTCACGTTTAGCCGATGTAGGATCTTGTGACCGGACTTCTCTTTCTTGCCATATTCTCACTTCCTGACTATTTGCCTTACAGGAGCCGTGTCCCAGCTAATCCAGGTCCTCACCACCTCCCAGGACAGCGAATGTTTGCAGAGCGTGATCAGGGCCATCCGCTACCTGGCCGATACTCCTGCTCATCGTCTTTCGCTGGCCCAGCAGGGGGCAGTCCGCCCCATAGCGGAGCGCTTGGTTTCCTCCCTGGAGGACGGGCCCTTGATTGCAGCCGTGGTGCGCGCCCTGGTGGAGCTGACAAAGGGCTGCAGTCGTGACTGTGCGGAACAGCTCAGCTTGGGAGGCGGGGTGGCGCCCCTCGTAACCTTAGCTGGCCACGAGAAACGGGTGGTGCAGGAATCGGCCCTTGCGGTCCTCGCTAACCTCTGTCTTCAGGGCATGATGAGGCCAGCTATAGGCAACGCTGGGGGAGTGGAGTTGCTAGTGGGGGAAATCCAACGACGGAGGGGAGCCGGGGCACCTGGGGCCTCCCTCCATCCGCTGGTGAAAGCTTTGTGCCTCCTGTGCCGGGAGGCTGTGAATCGGAGCCGGGTCCGTGAGACTGGAGGATTAGAGTTGCTGCTCTCCTTGTTGCGGGACCGAGGTCACAGCTATTCGCACGCTCGGGTGGTGGTGGCTTTTGTGGCCTTTTTCTACGACGAGGAAGCCCTGGAGATGCTACAGGCCGGAGGACTGGTGCCCTTGCTGGTTGGCAGGCTGGCAGCCCAGGGCCAGTGGGCGGGCCGGGAACAAGCGGAGGAGGAGGGGGAGGAGGAAGACCGTGAAGACGAGAAAGATGCGGCATCGTTTGACTTCCCTGCTGAGGGGCGCCGAGGAGAGCAGGCCCTGCCAGGAGCAGAGAGTTCCAGCTTTCAGAGCCTCAGGTAAATTTGGTTTTGCCCGGAGGCTATCTGGGTGCAGGGACTACTCAACAGGTTCAGATGGGTTGGACTACAACTTACTCAGATGTGTTGGGTCCGCTGCCTCACGGTCATTGGCCACGTTGGGTTTGGGTTCCAATAAGAAGCATTGTACAGATAGTCCTCGACTTAACGACCACAGTAGAGCTCAAACTTTCTGTTACAAAGTGAGATGTCTATGGAGATTCTCAGTCATCCAGGTCACAGTTGTCCTAAAAGGTGCTTTTTTTCACGAGGCAACTGGAAATTCTTGTTTTTCTTCGGAGACGTTTCGTTTCTCACCCTAGAAGCTTCTTCAGAATGGGGAATGCAAGGATGGTGGGGAATGATGAGTGAGATATTGGTTACGACCTTTCTCGCCACAGTCATTAAATGAGTTACTGCGGTTGTTAAGTTAGTAACACAATTGTTAAGTGAATCTGGCTTCCCCTATTGACTTTGCTGGTCAGAAGTTCACAAAAGGTGATCCCCTGATCCCGGGACACTACAACAAATGTCATAAATACGAGTCAGTTGTTCAGCATCTGAATTTTGATCACATGACCAACGGTCGTGCTGCTGCAATGGTCACTTTTTTTCAGTGCCGTTGTAACTTTGAATGGTCACTAAATGGACTGTTGTAAGTCGAGGACTACCTGCATTCCAATGCTGTTGGCGGGTGTTGCAGTGGAGAAGGTAGGTTTATACGTCAGAGATAGATGGGGTTAAGTTCGAAAGGCTGCCAAATAAAGGTGCTTACATTCTAAAAGCCCACTTGGGAAATGGATGGTGTAAACGTGAGCAGACAATAAAAAAAGGAAAAACCTGCATCGATCCTTTAGGTCCGTGGTGGTGAACCTATGGCACAGGTGCCAGAGGCGGCACTTAGAGCCCTCTCTGTGGGCTCGCGCGCCATCGCCCCAATCCTAGGCCTTCAACTGGGTTTTATAAAACCTTTTCGCTTTAGGTCTCCGCCACTGTGTGCAAAAAAAACCAAAAACGGTTCAATCAATCAATCAATTTCAACTTCTCGCAGGAAAAAAAAGATCTCGCAAAGTTGGAATTGATTGATTGAGCTTTTTAGTCCCACCCAGTCTGCCGTTACCACCGCAGCCACACCCACCCAATGGGCCACACCCACCCAGCAACCGACGATACATAAGTGGGTTTTGGGTTGCAGTTTGGGCACTTGTTCTCTAAAAGCTTCGCCATCACTGCTTTAGGTTTTTAGCACATATGCAAATGGAGGACGGTTGTTTATCTTGCGTATCTGATTCTGGGATTTCCTAGATTGGGAATTCTGGGAAAGACCTGGCAAACTGAAAAAGACAAAAACATCACAGTGAGGAGTTGGGTGGACAATAGAGGTCAGCAGAGCTGGGCAGCTGACCTTCTCTGATTGGTGCCAGCTCTGCACAGCCCCTTCTGTCTTCCTCTTATAAAGTTCATGGGGTTCAAAGATTCAGCTGTTTGTTTTTCTTTTAATGGGAAGTTGAATCTCTCCGAATTTGGGGTCTCCTATTTGATTTAGGCCCTAAAACATTTTCAGCAGATGAAAATGCCTAGCTGATCAGGTGAAGTTAAGCAGAGTCAGGCCTGGTTGATAATTGGATGGTAGACCTGCAGGAAATAGCCAGGCCTATAAGTCAGGGCATTTCAACCTTTTCACCCATTGTACCACTTTTAGAATATCGCAACATCTGAGTACCACCAGTCGCCTAGCCAGGTGTCAAAAACTTGACCCCCCCCCCCAAAAAAGGAAAAAAGTAATAAAGTACAGGTAGTCCTCAACTTACAACAGTTCGCTTAGTGACTGTTCGAAGTTACAATGGCACTGAAAAAAGTGCCCCCCCCCAAGCCACAGCCGAACAAGACACCTGCCTGCCCACCCAGTGGCGCTCTTCTTCCTGTCCAAGGTTTTCATTGTTGTGAGCATTTCTGTTGAGGATTGGTAGTTGGGGTGGGGTGGGAGGTGTTTGGTTTTTATTCCCCCAGTCTGATAGATGATTGCAGCAGGTTTTGGTCACATCACATGACCCTGGGACACTGTGGCCGTCATAAATATGAATCAGTTGCCAAGCATCTGAATGTAAATCACAAGACCCTGGAGATGCTGCAACATTCCAGCTGATCGGTGCTTCTTCTGGGCTCAGTAGAAGCGCCAGGATCAGTGCTGCTTTCCAGCTGATCGGGGCTTCTTCTGGGCTGAGCAGAAGCACCAGGATCAGTGCTGCTTTCCAGCTGATTGGGGCTTCTGAGCTCAGCAGAAGCACCAGGATCAGTGCTGCTTTCCAGCTGATCGGGGCTTCTTCTGGGCTCAGCAGAAGCACCAGGATCAGTGCTGCTTTCCAGCTGATTGGGGCTTCTGAGCTCAGCAGAAGCACCAGGATCAGTGCTGCTTTCCAGCTGATCGGGGCTTCTTCTGGGCTCAGCAGAAGCACCAGGATCAGTGCTGCTTTCTAGCTGATCGGCGCGTCTTTTGGGCTCAGCAGAAGCACCAGGATCAGTGCTGCTTTCCAGCTGATCGGCGCTTTTTCTGGGCTCAGCAGAAGCACCAGGATCAATGCTGCTTTCCAGCTGATCGGGGCTTCTTCTGGGCTCAGCAGAAGCATCGGGATCAGTGCTGCTTTCCAGCTGATCGGCACGTCTTCTGGGCTCAGCAGAAGCAACAGGATCAGCGCCGAGCTACAGCTGGAGCCTAGCGCTGATCCTGGCGCTTCCGCTGAGCCCTGACAGCCCTGCAGTTCCAGCCGTCTCTCGCTCAGGCTTGTGCGGTGCTGCCACCGGTTCAGCTCATTCCCCTCCCCCACTACCACTTTTCTAGGATGGTCGTGTACCACCTGCCAGGTGCCAATGTACCACAGGTGGTCCCCGTACCACTGGTTGAAAAGCCCTGCTCTAAGTAATTGGAAATTTAAAAAAAAAAAAAAATCACAGAAGCCCTTGAGGTGTCTAGGAAGTCACCAGGAGTCGAGTTCAGTTTGAAGGGGATAGCCCTTGGCTTATACAAATACATTTAGCGACCCTTCAGAGTTGTAATGGCACTGAAAAAAGTGACTTACAACAACTGGTCCTCGCAGTTATGACTGTCACAATGCCCCTGGGGTCCCAGGATCAGATTTTGGACACCTGGCATCCTTCGTGTGTTTAGATGGTTGTGGCATCCTGGAATATTGTGACTGATATCTGCAAACTGCCTACTGACAAGCAAAGTCAGTGGGGGAAGCCCGACTTGCTTAACAACACATGTGATTCATTTAACAGTTGCAATGATTTGCTTGATGACTGTGGCAATATATATATATATATATATATATATATATATATATATATATATATAATATATATATATATATATATATATTTCTGAGGTTTTCGCGGGTGTTTGTATGTAGGTCTTTGGTTGTTCAGGTTTTCTCCCACGTAAAATTGGAAGTGTCTTGCGACGTTTCGACGAAGTCCCATTCGTCATCTTCAGGCTGGTGTTTTCAGCTTCGTGCTTCGAGGAGCAATGTGACATATATATGTAAAATTGTGCACGACTCACATAACAAGCATCGGAATTTCTGGTTCCAATGGCTGGCTGGGGAATTCTGGGAGCCAAAGTCCTCATGTCTTAAAAATTGCCACAATTGAGCCGAGGTGGCACAGCAGTTAGGGTGCAGTACTGCAGGCCACTTTAGCTGACTGTGTTCAGCAGGTCAGCGGTTGAAATCTCACCGGCTCAAGGTTGACTCAGCCTTCCATCCTTCCGGGGTAGGTAAAATGAGGACCCTGATTGTTGGGGGCAATGTAAATATATATATACATCGCTTACTGGTGTACACCGCTTAGAGAGTGCTTGCACTTAAAGCGGTATATAAGTCTCATAAATAATTAAATAAATTGAAAAACACTGCATTTATCATAAGGTGGAAATTCAGTGTAAGGACGCCACTGCTATAAGCGAGTGGGCTTTGTGCCCTGAATGGCTTGGCGCATCTTGCATTACGTTCCCACCAGGTATGGCTTCCTGTGACGGCATCACCCTGAAGATGGAGCATCTTCTGACTTAACTAATTCAGATCATGGGAAAAATTTGTAGCGGGGAGACTTCCAGCTGTACACTCTGTGCAGAGTTTTGTTTTGTTTTTTTAACAAAATTTTTATTAAATTTATATAAGAGGAAAAATAGGAACAATATAGGTATGGTAAAGGGAGGGGTAAAAGGAAAGGGGGAGGGGAAGGAAATAAGGAATTAGGGTAAAATAAGGATAGGTACAATCACATATTTCAACAAACAAGCAACCGTCCGGATCATAATAATAAGTAAATATCATATTCAACCATTTTTAACAAAGCTTAAACTATATTAAAAACAATTAGTAAACAAATACATTGATCTATTAAGTAAACACTACTAATAAAATCTCAAAAAAAAATAAATCCTAACAGTCAAAAGTAACAAATGAAAATCAGTAAATCAGGAAAAATAATCGTATCATCAAAATGTTAGTTAGAACTCGATTAAAAATCAGTCAGCTATTCTAAAATATTGAATCCTTCAAATTCTAACGTGTCTCTAACCATTGATAAAATTTTTCCCAAGTTCTAAAATAAATTTAGTCAAATTTTTCTTTCATTTCTAATGTTAGTCTATCCATTTCTAGTCTGTGCAGAGTTTTTGTTCCAGTGTTTCTAGCCAAACGTTTTGTTCCTTCCTCTCCTTATTCCAGATCTTCCCCCATGTATATACTTCAAAGCTTATTCTTTTGTGTGTGTGTCTCTCTCTCTTCTTTGTCCCCAACGCAGATCCTGGCTTGTCTCGGAAGGTTATATTTCCAGTCCAGGGGATCTTTCTCCTCAGTGGTCTCCTGACACCACCCTTTCGGAGCTGGAGGCCCAAGGAGATATGAGTCCTAGCCAAGAACTGCAAGATGACTCTCTAGGACCTTGCCACAGCACATCTGGGATGAAAACCCATTCCAGAGCCGAATCTCCCGATTTTTTACATTCCCCTTTCTTGGATTTGCCTCTTGGGGGGCAGCCCGGCCTTTCAGAGACTTTAAACTCAGCAACGAAAAGTGGAGGAATCCTTCCAGATCACAGCCTCAGTCCTGCAGCGTTACCTTTGTCGGCTGAATCTGAAAATGTCCACCTAGAACCTGTCTTAGAGGGAAACCCACATTCAAGGGGAAATGAGGAGGAAAATAAAGATGGAGCCAATAAACCGCAAAAGGAGCTGACGATGTCAGAACTGGCAAATTTAGAGGACGATCTCTCTGCGGATGATGGCTTAGAGTTGCCTGGTTCATCCACCTCAGAGGAAATGGAACGTTCTGGAAAAATCGATGGTCGAGCCGAACAATCCTCTTGGCTTGCTTTGGTAGCCGGCCAGAACAGCCCTGGGCCCAGTAACTCCACCTCCATTCCATTGATCGTGATTCCCAGCAACAGTGACCAAAGCCAGCTGTCACCCAGGCCTGTTGACAAATCCCCAGTCACAGAGGAAGCGGTCCCGGTCCCTCCGAAGCCAAATGTTCAGACTCTCCCAACTTCTCCGGAGGAGTACAAGGCACGTACCTCTTACTGGAAACGGCGTGCCAAGCTGCGCTCCTCCTCGGAGCAAAGCACACCGCCACCTCAGGGCTTGCGCCCGGCCCCCGAGGCTTCGTCTCCCTGGGCCTCCTTGACCTTGCCGCTCTCTTTCTCTCCCCACGTGGGCGACCCAGAGCTCCATGCTCCCGAAGCGCCAGCCCTGCTCCTCCTGTCCCGTTTTTCTCAAGCTGAGGATCCTAGTCGCAGTTTGGTGACGCCAGACACGCTGCGCGGACTGTTGTGTTACATCACCAGGAGTCCTTCCCCTTCCTCTCGCTGCCTTCGGCTGCTGCATCGTCTCACCTGCAATCCGGCCTGCCTGGAGCCCTTTGTGCGCTCCCATGGGCCCTCGCTTATCAGGGCTTGGTTGATCCTGGGTGTATCCCCTGAGCAAGCCGCTACCGCCATCACTGGTGAAGCAGAAGAGTGGGAGGCCAGCGGTTCAGATGATCCCAGGAGATTCAAGGAACTTGGTGTGTGTGTGTTGTGTTATCCCCGTAGTTTAGGACAACCTTCTCCCACCTGTGACCGATGTACGACTCCCTTCATCCTAGCCAACATGCTTCCTTGGGATTACAGGGAGTCCTCGGCTTAACAACCACAACTGAGCCCAACGTTTCTGTTGCTAAGCAAGGCAGTTGTTAAGTGGAGCTTGCCCGGTTTGCAAACTTTCTCGCCACAGCTGTTAATTGAACCGCTGCAGTGATTACGTTGGTAACATGGTCGTTAAGCAAATCTGGCTTCCCCACTGACTTTGTTTGTCAGAAGGTCACAAAAAGGGGATCGCAGTGATCCTGGAACACTTGCAACTGTCATAAGTATGAACCAGTTGCCAAACGCCCCAATTTTGATCACGTAACCCTGGAGATGCTGCAGTGGTCGTTAAGTGTCAAAAGTCCTAAGTCATTTTTTTCAGTGCTGTTACAACTTTGAACGGTCATTAAACGAACGGTTGTAAGTTGAGGACTACCTGTATAGGAGTTGGATGTGTCGGAATACTGTACTTGCCATCCCTAGGTTGGCAAGGCTGTCCAGAATACTGTAATGGGCTTCTGTCTCTATTTACAGGTAGTCCTTGACCAGGGATAGGCAACCTTGGCTCTTTTATGACTCGTGGACTTCAACTCCCAGAATTCCTGAGCCAGCATGGCTCAGCTTGGAAACCTCTCCCTTTCCCCTCAGCATGGCTGGCTCAGGAATTCTGGGAGTTGAAGTCCACGAGTCATAAAAGAGCCAAGGTTGCCTACCCCTGTCCTTGACTTACGACTGCAATTGAGTCCAATATTGGACTCAACATTGGTCCACTTGCTAAGCAACTAAGTGAGTTGTGTCCATTGTACTATCTTTTTGCTGTGGCTGTTAAGTGAATCACTGAATTTGTTAAGTGAAACGTGGTCGTTAAGCGAATCTGGCTTCCCCCGTTGACTTTGCTTGTCAGAAACTGCCTAGAAACGCTACCAGTGACAATCCCGAGACCATCATAAGTGGATGCTGGTTGCCAAGCACCTGGAGTTTGATCCCTGCAACGGTCCTAAGTGTGAGAACTGGTCCTAAGTCGCTTTTTCCAGTGCCGTTGTAATTTTGAATGGTTGTTAAACGAATGGCTGTAAGTCGAGGTCTCCTGACGTCGGCAAATCTCATGTTGGGGGATCTTCTGATCTCTGCTCTCTGCCCTAATGTCCCACCTCACTGGTTCTTGAATATGGGGCAGCCACTGATAAAGAGATTGTCTGGCTCCAAACTGGGCAACTTTAAGCCAGCCTGGCTTTGCTGGGGAATTCTGGGAATTAGTCCACAAGTCTTAACAGTTGCTAAGTTTGGAGAGCCCTGATCCAGACTGAAGTGCTGGGACTCCTGATCTCTTTTTACTGTTACAGGGGGGTGCTATCGACCGAGATTCAGGGGCTCTTGCCGATAGGATGGGGCCACGGGCCACCATTCCACGTCTTGAGCTGCAGTTCCCATGACCTCTTGTCTGTGATCCTGGTGGCTGTAGCTGAGGAGACCTGGGGTTCAGCAGCACGGGATGGGGAACGTCATTGGCCTTGTTGCTTGTCGGTCGAGAGATTGCCCATGGAAATCTGTAAAATAGACCTCTTGAGCTTAAAGTGGAGCAGGAAGAGAAATGGGGGGAAGGCCTGTAAAGGTGGGAGGACATATTGATTTACCCAAATTGTCCGCCGCTGTTCTTCTCAGTACACTGTACCATTTTAGATGGCGACGCTGCATCTAACCCGCTGCCTTTTCCCCGCTCCGCAGGAGAGGCGCTCCTGATAAACCTCTGTGTGCAGGCAGAGTCCCCCTTTGGCATGGGGGTCCTCACCCACATGCTGCTGTCGGGCTGTGAATCGGACCAAGCGGCCTCTGCCCTGGCACTGCCCCTCATCTGCCGGTGAGTTTGGCATCCTTTTCTGCCCCAGAAGATGCTTCAAGCTGGACTCGGCGGGCAAAACATTGTATTCCTCGGGTGGCTGTCGAAACAGGGGAGGGGCAACCTTTTGGCATGAGATCCAGGCTCTGGCTGCCTTCACAGCACTCAAAGGCCCAGCAGATAGATCTTAACCTGGGTGGTCTTTTTTGCGTCCGAGTATTGTGTGAACGCAACCTGTTGTGTTTAGGATGTAGTTCAGTGTAACAGGGAAACACAAATAACACGTGAACGCAGCCATTGCATGCTCAGGTTTTCTATTTGGATGAGATGCCTAAACTTGGAGATTTTTTGAATGAGACTGTGATGTGGGAGGCAACTGGTTAATGATGGTGCTACGATCTCACAGATCTGGAAGATGAGGGGAGAAGGGTGCATACCACCTGAGGTTGCCCCAAATTTGGGGAGAAATATTGTCAGGAGTGTGGGGTGGAGGGGGGAGGGAGAGGAGAGAAATGAGATTTGACTTGCAACAAGCGGCAATGCTCTTTGTTGTGTCTTCTCTCTGCTGCAGGAAGGATTCTGCTTGTCGGAAGCTGCTGGTGGGCCTCGGTGGCCTGCGGATCTTGCTGGGGGTCCTGGTGCGGGACCCTGACCCCTATTTTGTCTTCTGTACCTCAGACATTCTTTCTCTTCTCCTGAGCTCCCAAACTCCGTCTCCTGCTTCTGTCTCGTCTCCCGCCTTGAAGCGGCCTCGCCTGGATTCCCCGCGGCCTTGTCCTTACTCTCGCCTTGTGGAGGAGGAAGGTGGGGCCGACCTGTTCTTTCAGCTGGACTCTGGCCGCAGGGTGCCAGCCGTGCGGCAGGCGGTCAGCGATGCTTCCGAGGTCTTCCGGGCCATGCTGAGTGGAGGCTTCGCAGAGTCGTCCCACACCAGCGTGACCCTTCGCGACGTGTCGCCGGAACCTTTCCTGGCTGTCGCCCATTTCCTCCACGGCTGTCGTGGCAAGCCCTGCCAGGTCTTGGGAACGCCGTTTCCACTGGCTTTGGCAGAAGGAATCTTGGTGGTTGCTGAACAGTATCTCCTCCCTGACCTCCAGGCCTTGGTGGATGAGGCATTGTGCCAAGACACTCTCTGCCCCGGGACTCTTGGGGAAGTGTACCGGCTGGCTGAGCGGCAGAACCGGCCCCGTCTCCTTCAGAATTGTGTGGCGTCCACTTTCACCCTGGAGGGGTCAACCCCGACCCGCCGAGCTGCTGCCCTGGCGGAGCTGCTCCGATCTGCTGCAGATCCCAGCGGTTTAGCTGCCAGGCTGCTCGGAGTGGTGCTGGAGTCTCCGTGGGGCGGTGGCTCGGAGGGCCAGCTAAGCTGACAGATGGGACCTTCTCTCCTCTCCCCCAGTTCTTACACACCACTGAAGCACTGAGGTGGTGGATCGGGCGAGGGAGAGGACGGTTGGAGTATTAAGAGAATAAATGGCAAAATGCTCCGAAAAGGGGAGTCTGGGTCAGTGGATGGTCCTATAACGGTCAGCGGGGGGAAAGATTTGGGACCAAGCACTGTTTGATCAATTAGGGGGTGAGACTGGGAGGTGGTGGGGGGGGAGAGGCCTGATAATCAGAAATAGGGTTTGCCCTGCTAGCTGCTACACCAGGGTTTCTTAATCTCTGTGACTTGAAGAGGGGTGGACTTCAACTCCCAGAATTTTGGCTGGAGAATTCTGAGAGTTGAAGTCCACCCCTCTTCAAGTCACAGGGGTTGAGAAACACTGTGCTAGACCAGGGGTTCTCAACCTTAGCAACTTTAAGACTTGTGGACTTCAACTCCCAGAATTCCTCAGCCAGCAAAGCTGGCTGAGGAATTCTGGGAGTTGAAGTCCACAAGTCTTAAAGTTGCCAAGGTTGAGACCCCCTCTGCTAGACAAACCAACACGGGTAGAAGCCATATAGAACTTCTATTCAGGAGCTTTCAAGAATCCTTCCTGTCAGAAAGGGACTCCTGCTTTTGGATTGGCTGAAACTCAAAAGTAGGAGGGGTCTCTTTTTGGTCCAGCCCAGCTGTGAAAAGGGTCAGCTTTGAATATATATAGCCTATGAGGCAACCCTGTTCTGGTGCTGGTTAGTTCAGGAAGGAACCCCAGTCTCAGAATTGGAGATGTTTCTTCATCGTGCATAGGAAGGACACGTTGAAAGGGTGTGACTGTAACAGAAGGAAACTGAGTCAGCAGGAGCCCATTTGATCCCCCCCCCCCCCGGCACCTGAAGGAACTTGCAGCGGTTGAGATTTCATCTCCTTCTGAGAAGGCCAGGAAACACGTTACCCAGAGCACCTGGGCTAAAGAGACTCCTAATTGTGAAGTTGGAACAATAATGTGTATGAACTGTTGTACATAGAGGAAATATAGAGAAGCCATGAAATGCTCGGAAGGGCTGTGTTGCTTGCCCTTATTTCCTTAACGGCATCGAAGGAAGACGGGGCAAGCTCTCCACAGTTCACCCTGGACACTCGCACCCCTGTGGATAGCCTGCAAAACCAAAATGGAAAAAACTGGTCGAGAGAAATCACATTGTGCAAATCCAGCAAGGGGGCTCATTCTTCTCTTTCGTAAACCAGCTGCTTTTGAAGGGATGGGCTGAATGCCGACTTGCTTTGGGACCTTCGGCACGAAGTCCTCTGGGGCACCGCACCTCTCCAATCTGCTGAGAGTTGGTGGAATTTGCCTGCCCTCTTAATGCCAGTTACGTCCCTTTGAATTGAATCGGGAGGCTTCCTGGCCCTGCTCCCTCCCTCCCTCCCCATCGCCTTCCCATGCTGAGAACAGGAAACGCCTGTTTCTAACTGCATCCAGATGGTCTGCAGCGCACTGGAGAAGGGAGAGCGAAAAACCACTTCCTAAGAGCCTGGTTTCTATAGGCCATATTCATGGGGAATGGGGCGGGAAAGGGATCCAAGTTTTGGCCTCCCTTTTTGAGGGTGGGCTGTCATTTGGCTGTTCCACTCCTGTTTTTTTTGCTGTTTACGGGCACATCCGGCAATAGCCAAGATGTGCAGCTTTTTCCCCCAATGAGAGCATATATTCTTACGTTAGCTACCTTTTTTCCCTTCTGTTCCAGCTTCAAAGTAAGTGAGAAACTGTTCCTGTTTAGTATCCGTGTTGCTGCATGTTATGGAAAGCCACGGGAGTCAGCCCCGGCAGCTGGCAGCTGATGTATCACAGAGCTGTCAGCCTGGTGCTAAAGCAAACCAGGTCTGATGTTCTGGCATATAAGTTCTTTGTTTCTGAACCCACCTCTTTTGCCCAAAATTGGGATAAGGTGCACATCTTTGCTTGGGTACCCGCCAGTCCACACTGAGAGCATTAATGTCTTATATAAGCCCTTGCTCTAGCCATAGTGTTGTTTTTGTATGTTATCTCGCCGAACACTTTATAACATTTTCCCTCTGGATTAATTCTTACTCCCTAGAACTGCGTTTCTCAATGTCAGCAATTTTTCAGATGTGTAGACTTCAGTCCCAGAATTCCCCAGCCGACATACCTGTTAGGAAATTCTAGGAGTTAAAAGTCCATGCATCTTAAAAGTTGCTGAGGTTCTAAAACCAGTATGGTAAGACATTCGGGAAGTTGTTACCATGATATACCGATAGGTAGTCCGCAACTTATGACCATCTATTTACTGACCGAAGGTACAACGGCACTGGCATTTTTGCAGTGTACCCAGGGTCACGTGATCGCCAATCCCAGCCTTCCCAGTCCACTTCCCACCAGCAAAGTCAATCAGGGAAACCGGATCCGTTTGAATGATCCTGTGATTCACTTAAAGGTTGCTGCAAAAAAAAAAAGCAGAATAACCAGATTTGGGAAATCTATTCAGATTGAATCTTTCCTTGACTCAGGAACACAACCGGGACCGGATATTCTGTTGCTAAGTTGTCACTAAGCGAATATGGTTTCTGCTATTGACTTTGCTTGTGAGAAACTGGCTGGAAAGTCACAAATGATGATCAGGTGACTCTCCCCCCCCCAGGACACTGCAACCATCGTAAATATATACCGGTTGCCAAGTGCTCAGATGTTGATTATGTGACCCTGAAGATGATGCAACGGTGAAGTGTGAGAACCGGTCATAAGTCACTTTTTTGCAGTGCCGTTGTAACTTCGGACAGTTGCAAGACGATTGGTTGTAAGTCAAGGACTATTGGTACATGTACATTCTATGGCAGAGGTCCCCAACCTTTTGGGCACCAGGGACTGGTTATTTGGAGAGAGGGTTTTTTTCATGGACCGGAGGGTGCGTGGTTTTGTGTGCTGCCTGCATCCTGTGGATGGGCCTTTGCTTGTTTGTGTGACAGGTTGCTGGCATGCCGGAGCCCGGTACCGGTCCACAGATTGGGGGTTGGGGATCCCTGTTCTACAGTCAATACTCTATATTCATCATGACTTGTACGCAAATAGGGGAAAGTACCTTAACTTTTCTATCCAGCCTTCTGAGTTCCATCGCATCTGGTACATGCCAGAGGGGCAACAGAAAGGCTGTTGCAAAACCCCTACTTGGTCTTAATAAACTAGAGGTTAGTGTCTACAGCTCTGCGAACTCTGAGCACACAAGCATACACAAACATATCCTTAGGAGGAAAAGGCTGTGTATCTTTGGTTTAGAAGGTCTGGAATGGGCCCTTCCTACCTCAGAGCTCTCACAGCTAACTATGCTACTAGATCAGTGATGGTGAACCTTTTAGAGACTGAGTGCCCAAACTGCAACCCAAAACCCACTTATGCATCGTCGAGTGCCGGGTGGGTGTGGCCCATTGGGTGGGCGTGGCTGTGGTGGTACCGGTAGACTGGGTGGGACTAAAAAGTTCAATCAATCAATTTCAACTTTGCAAGGTCTTTTTTTTTCCTGCGAGAAGTTGAAATTGACTGATTGAAACTTTTTTTTTGTTTGCACATGGCGGCGGCGGAGGCCTAAAGCGAAAAGGTTTTATAAAACCCAGCTGAAGGCCTAGGACTGGGGCGACGGCGCACGTGCCCACAGAGAGGGCTCTGAGTGCCGCCTCTGACACCCGTGCCATAGGTTCGCCACCATTGTACTAGATCTCACTGACAAATGTTTGTACACTTGTCTTTTCTCGGTTTTCCTTTTATTGAAACTTCATGTGTGTTAACTGGTCAATGGTGTCCGATTCTCCAAGGGTGCCTCGATACGTCCCTGCAGTTTTCTCGGCAGACGTTTTTCAGAAGTGGTTTACCATCGTCTTCTTTCTAGGGCTGAGAGGAAGTGGCTAGCCCAAGGTGAGGCCCAACTGGCTTGGTAGACTAGAACCAGCCCTCAAAAAAGAGTTTTGGAGAGAGTCAAAATAGTTAAAATCCAGATCTTTTTTTAAAATAGGTGTTCAGATTTCAGAGAGGCCTTCCTGTTCAAATCATCCCTCCACAGGGTTGCATTAACATTCACGTCTGATGACTTTTTCTCTCCTTTCTCATTCAACTTTTGTTCAGATTCCCACCCACCCCCTTTGTAGCTTGCCTTCCCCCCCCTCACAAAACACATCCTCTGAGTCAAATCATTTCAATGTGACTAAATTCTCCCTGCAATTCTCTGTTTCACCCCAGCCAGGAGTATCACCTTTCACAAAACACCCCTTAAGTCTCCAGAACTGCAGACTTCTTTCCCCATTTTTTGGCATTCGGAATACTTAACTGGCCAAACCGATGCGATCTCACAGAATTGCCGAAAGGTACCTGCCTTCCCTCTGGGTGTCTGCAAAGTGAACCTCAAAAAGTGTGGGAAGGAAAGAAAAAGGCCTGTGCAAATGTTGGAACACGTGGAGCTTGATTTAAGGTGTTCCCCCCCCCCCACAAAGCTAGGAATCTTTTATTTCATATTGAATGTTGTTCAATTGGAATAACGTCCAGGAAAGGTCCAACCAAAGGTTTAATACTTCCTCCTCCACCTTCTCCTCCCCCTTAATTTTGCACTGGCACAAATCTGGCTACGATTCTGTTTAAAGCAGCCATCCATACAGTGCTAGTTTCTCTAACTATGGAGGATCGCTTTCTTTGCTCGCACAAGGCAGCTAGATTTTTGCAAAAGGAATTTGAAAAAAGGTCCTGGAACTTCCGGTGGTTCTCGCTTCTCAAGCCTGGGCCGCATGTGGGAATTCGCCTCTTCACCAGATGCGCATTTCTTGTCCCAGATACGCCTCTGGGAGCTTCTTTAAGACCGTCCCAATATCCTGATACCCGCAAGGAATAGAGTAGAGTAGAATAGAATAGAATAGAATAGAATAGAAAGAGATTAGGAATAGAATAGAATAGAATAGAACGAGATTAGGAATAGAATAGAACGAGATTAGGAATAGAATAGAATAGAATGAGATTAGGAATAGAAAGAGATTAGGAATAGAATAGAATAGAATAAAATAGAATAGAACCGAGATTAGGAATAGAATAGAATAGAATGAGATTAGGAATAGAATAGAAAGAGATTAGGAATAAAATGGAATAGAATAGAATAGAAAAAGAGATTAGGAATAGAATATAGAATAGAGATTAGGAATAGAATAGAATAACTTTATTGTCACTTTAACATGAGATTATGCACATGCACACACGCACACATACATACACACACAAACACGCATGGCACAGAAACAACACAAGTCTAGTTCGGATCAACCCCTCTCTCACCACCCCCCCCAAAGTCCCTAGGAGCGGGGCGTCCTGTTTGGGGAGGCGGGAGGGAACGCTTGGATGGGCTGACGTTTCCTTGCCCCTATTTAACCATCTTCCCCGGAGTGGACGCGAGGCCGCGACGTGTGTGTGTGTGTGTTTGTGTCCGTGTCGAGGCGGAGTGGAGGGGGGGGGGCGCGTCCATCCTTCCTGCCCAAGCGCGAATCCCCTTTGCCATAAATGGTCACCCGCAACTGCAGCAGCGGCGGCGGCGGCGGCGGCGGCAACGCAGCCAAAGTCGGGTTGGCGGGCGCGGCAACAGCGCGGAGCCTCGCTCCGGGAAGGCGCGTCACTGGGGCGGGGGCCGCCCAGCCTGCAACTGCCGGCCCGGAGTCCGGACCCAGCCTCGCCGGCCCGTGATGGACGATCTGGGTAAGTGGTAAGAAGCGCCCGGAGGGAGCCCCCGTCTCCGCCGCCGCGTCCTTTGGGTCTCCACCTCTTTCTCTCGCCCCTTCCCCTTTCGCCTCTCGGCTGGCTTTTTTTTTCCCCCACCGAATTCCCGGCCGATCTTCCCTTCTTTGCATGCCCGGTCGTCATTCCCCCCCCCCGCGCGCTCTCTTTTCTTCCCGGACGGCGCTGTCGTTCTCCTCTTCCCCCCCCCTCCCTCCTTAACATTCCCGCCTTCCTTTATTGCTGTTTCCTAGACTTTCTTTCCTGCTCTTTTCTCCCTTCTTTTAATGGACAAACGGGGCGGGAGGGGGGTGGGGTGCAGGGAGAGGCTGATGCCGTCGTTGCACGGCTCCCCCCCCCCAATTCCACTTTTCTTCTCTCTCTCTCTCTCTCTCTCTCTCTCTCTCTCTCTCTCTCTGCATCGCTTTTTTTTTTTTTTCGCGCAACGGCGGCCGCGGTTTTTATTTTGGCACTCAACTTTTTTTCCCCCCATTTCCCCAAACTTAATCCCACGCCCTTCTCTAACCCCCCCCTTGCAGGATCCCCCCTTTCCTCTGAGACTTCTTCACGTGTTGCATGAGGGTCACCTCCCTTTTTGCCCTTGCCAGAGAAGGGCGGTGCGGGGGGGGGGTGGAACTGTCTAGCTTCAGACGAGAATGTGGGACTGGGTGTCTGCAACCCGGAATGGGACTGCTGCGTTGGAACGCGCGTTGGCGAACCCGGGTTTGCCTTTCGCCCTAAAGTCCAGGTTTTATACGTTGAGGGAATTCGCTTGACATTCCCCGAGGGAACCGTCACGTGTGAATGGGGCTGTCCTGCTTTGCAAACTTTCCGGATGGCGGGTTCCCACACCCGTGGCCTCTTGTGGTCTTTTGCCTTTCTCCGGGGCCTCTCCCAGCCTCTCGCTCATCCTCAGAGCTGGCGGGGGGGGGGGGTAGGAGAGGCGACGGTGCCTTTCCTCAGCCCTTCCCTTCTCAAGAAGGAAGGAATGCTATTTCTCAGCGTATTCCTGTGGCTTTGCGGAATTGCTGAACCAGCCTGCTAGACCAGCTTGCTTTGCAGCCTTCATTCTCGTCCCCTGCCTTGTGCATCCTACTAGGGCTTCAAGAGAAGTCACACACATACACACACACACACACACACACACACACACACACACACACACACACACACACACACACCTTTGCCTTGGCAGAAAGCTGTGGGGGGGGGGGGAAAGGAATGAAGTCCTGGATCCATCACTTCAAAAGGTATTATGATGCTGTAAAATACCACTTCTATTGTCTTCCGATTTCCCCCGAAGCTGCCACTGGAGCTCAAACCTAAATTTTACCCAATCTGACCCTGTGCAGAGACTACAACGCCCATCACCTCCAGCTCCTTAGTGGAAGTTGTGTGCAATGTAAGGTTGGGGAGCGCTATCCAAAGCAGCAGCTGCCAAACCCTCAAAGGATTCTTAGCATTTGTTCGGGGTTTCTTTCCCCCACTACCCCTTCGTTCCTGACTTAAGCTCGCAGTTTTCCAGTGGTTTTGGTCGTTGGCATCCTCAGATGGTTTTTTTTAAATCTGGAATGAGATGCAGACTTTCTGGCTGTCGGTCTGACTTAGTGTTTCGCAAACTTGGCCACTTGAAAATGTATGGATTTTGAATCCCAGAATTTGCTGTCTGGGAATAGCAATAACAATAGCACTTAGACTTATATACCGCTTCATAGTGCTTTGCAGCCCTCTCTAAGTGGTTTACAGAGTCAGCGTATTGCCCCCAACAATCTGGGTCCTCATTTTACCGACCTTGGAAGGACGGAAGGCTGAGTCAACCTTGAGCCGGTCAGAATCGAACTCCTGACAGTAAGCAGTGGATGAGCCTGCAATAGTGTAGTCTAACCACTGTGCCACCATGCGGGGGTAGGAGTTGAGGTCCACAGATCTTCAAGTGACACTGGTGATACAAACGCCCCAGGGAATCTTCTTATGTGCAGGAGATCAAGCCATCATTTAATAGGGCTGGAAGGAGGACCTTCACAGTCCGGTGTCAGGGTCAGATGGAGCTTGCCTGCCCCATCCCGCAATGCATGCTCGTGGGTAAAGACAGATACTTCTTGTCTAAGCTTCATTCCAACCTCTGTAAAAAAAATATCCTATATTAGCTTCTGCATTCTCTAAGATGGATTCCATAAGGATTTGCAAAAAAATACCTCTTCTACAGAGCAGGAAGCAGACTCGGGGTCCTGAACTGGCTGTAACCTTTTGCAAAATTCTCCCAGTGATCTTGATTGGTGGTTAGCTCCCAGCCCAGCCTAGCCTTCCTTGCAGGACTATTGTGGAGATGCAGTGAGGGCTAGAGGAAGCTGGGCAGGATTACAGTAGGAAATAAAATAAGAATAAAGTTGCTGATCTGGTGTGGATTTTCCAATGGGATCCTCTGACTGGGACATTGGGGTGAAGGATCCAGGCTCCGAAGACGGTGACGATGGCTTCCCCCCCCCCCCGTCTCTTTCCCTCCTCTCCCGCCCCTTTCCATGTCTTACCCTCCCTTCCAGCGCATTACATTCCTGCCTCTCCCTCTGTGGTTTTTCCCTAGACGCATTTCTGCCCCGTGACATCAGACCAAAAGGAGCAGAAATGAGAGAAACCTTTCTTCATCCCCTTTCCCCCCCTTTTTTATGCCATCCCAGAAAGCGGCTGGAAAAACAGCCCCCTTTTCTAATTAGGATTTCCAAAGCATTCTCCTTCTGACACCCTCTTCCACTCTGTCCAAGGATGATCGGAGGATGAGAGCCTGTATTGGCTGGCAAAGAGAGGGGTATGGAAGGGAAGTCCCTTGCTGTGGGGTGGAGAGCTGGAAGGCTGTGGCTCAGGGGAGAATGCAAGAGATAGGGGAGATGTATCCATAAAAGTGTGAGAGGCCGGGGACTTCTGGATAAGGACAGATGCAAAAGCCACATCTCCAGCCTAGGGTTCCTTTACAGTTGGAACAATTAATCAGTGGAACGGCTGGCCTCCAGAAGTTGTGAGTGCTCCAATACTGGACCTTTTTAAGAAGAGTCTGGACAGCCATTTATCCAGAATGGTATAGAACAGTGGTTCTCAGCCTGTGGGTCGGGACCCCATTTGGGATCGAACAACCATGTCACGGGGGTCGCCAAACAACGCAGTCCGCCATTTTTTTCCCCTTTTCCTTAGCTGTGCTACTCCCTTTTATTCTATTGGCTTTTGAAAGCCAATAGAATAGACTCTCGTGAATAGAGTCTAATTCTATTGGCTTTCAAAAGCCAATAGGAATTGTCCAGGCTGTCTCTGCCCTGCTGAGCCCGCCAAAAGTCCCATTCTGCAAACGGTGCTGCACCAGTTGAGTAGTCCTCGACTTACGACCGGTTGAGTAGTCCTCGACTTACGACTGGTTGGGGGTCGCGGCATTAAAAAGGTTGAGAACCACTGGTATAGAATCTCTTGCTTGAGCAGAGGGCTGGACTAGAAGATCTCCAAGCTCCCTTCCAACTCTGTTTGTCCTGTTACTCTTTGGGTACTGGAATCGGTCACTAGGAGATTAGACGAGACCAGAATTTGCCAGACTGTTAGATTCTTTTGTGTTGTGGGGCCCCTCTTTGGAATATAATTCCTCTTCCCCTCCCATCAGATTTGCCCTGATCCTTCTTTCCCAAGACATTTAAAACCTGGTCTTGCCATCAAGCCTGGGGTCCTCATAGTGTGAGTGAATCGATTTCTTGCATATATTGATCGTGGGATACTCTTGAGGGTCCTTGTCTGCTATTTTATGTTAGTTCTGTTTATCATTTTGGCAGTATATTTATTCCGTTTTAATTGTCAGCCACCCAGAGCCGTGTACATGAGATGGGGAGAGCATATAAATGTATTAAATAAATACATAAATTTTCAAGAACAATTAAAAATAATCTGATTTTCTCAATAGGAGTCGGTTGCTTAAAGAATTGAGGTAGAAAAATTAGATTTCTTTTATCCCACTTTTATTATTGATTATAGATAATTCGAAGTGGCAAGCATACTTAATACTTCTATTTTCCACACAACAGCCCTGTGAGGTGGGTTGGACTGAGAGAGAGGGAATGGCCCAAAGTCACCCAGCCAGCTTTCATGCCTAAGGCAGACTAAACCTCATCGCCTCCCAGTTTCAAATCTGGTGCTTTAACCATTAGACTAAACAGGCAAAAAGAAAAAAAAAAGAGAGAGAGACAGAGAAAACTAGACCAAAGGTTTGCTGGGAAAGTGTACGTATTTGCAGATGTGAAACACATCAGAGGCCACAGTATGAATTATAATCCAAAATGGGAAATCTGAATAAAAATAGAACATAGTATTTGAAAAGACCATTCGACCCAAATACTTCAATGTATCATGTTTCTGTGTTGTCCTGGTATGGTTAGCTGCTGCTAATTTTTCTTCAGTCTACATAGAGTCAGAATGGCACTTAGAATGTATAAGCCAGGGGTAGGCAACCCAAAACACTCAAAGAGCCACTTGAACCCGTTTCCCACCAAAAACAAAACACTGGGAGCCGCAAAACCCTTTTGATATCTAAAATGAAGATAACACTGCATATATCTTTTTATCTTTATTATAGGTGTGTGTGTGTGTGTGTGTGTGTGTGTGAGAGAGAGAGAGAGAGAGAGAGAGAGTGTACACACACACACACACACACACACACACACACACACACACATTAAAAATAAAAGTAAAAATATGATTCTTGGGAATATCCATACTATTAAAACAATGATCACCGAGAGAATGCTTTAAGAGAATAAAATTACATACACACACAGGTAAAAAAAGGATATATGCAGTGTTATCTTCATTTTAGATGTAAAAGGGTCTCTCTCTCTCTCCCTCCCTCCCTCTCTGCCCTTGGTCTGCCACTCCTCTCCCCCCACTCTCTTTCTTTCTCTCTCTTTCCTCTCTCTCTCCCCCTCCCTCTCTCTCTCTCTCTCTCTCTTTCTCCCCCC